CGTCCCGCCCACCCTCCCTCCGTCCCGCCCACCCCCTCCCTTTCCGGGCGGCGCGTGCGCGCGAGACTGTCCTCCTATGTCTTGACGGTTGAAGACTAGTTTCTCCCCGGAAGCAGTTTATTTTTTTAACCAGAAGGAAACTTAAAAAGGGAAAACTTGTATGACTAGTTTGAGAGAGTGGGAAGTGAAACGAACTGTCACAAAAAAGAGAAAGGAACACTTCGAGAAAAACATTCTTGGATATTCAGACAACGGCACAAACAAGCTAATGCTGAATATTTTCAGAAACCGAGCAAGGAAAAACAGGCATGCAGTTCAGGAAGGCGAATGAGCCCTAGGGATCCAAAGGGAGTAGAAAAAATTCCCACACTAAAAATTAAAATCAAGATGCATGAAATTTTCGAGGAATGAAATTGAACTTTCTAGAGCAGGTTTCGTCGCTGTTCGTGACGCTTAGCCTGACCTCGCAGACACAGCGCCGACTCGGGCGGAAGTGACGTCTTCTGTAACCCGAACGTTCTGTTCTACGCACGGAAGACATGCGCCGCCCGGAAAAGGGGTGGGCGGGGCGGAGGGGAGGGTGCGTCACTTCCCCCGCGGGCGCCCGCGCTGGTGGGCGGGCCCGGGACGTGTCGCGGGGGAGGAGCGTCCGGCGGCGGGGCTGGAGCCGAGGCGACGTCGGCGCGTCCCGGGTGGGGCGAGTCCTATGCAGATGAGGCGGCGCAAGGGCTGATGGTTCGGCATGTGCCCTCCCAAACGCGACGCGATCTCCCGTGCTGAGGGAGCGAGCCCAGAGGCGTTTGCGCGCCGTGCCTTTAGGAGCTGCGTGGGCGCGCCGGGGAGGCCGTGTGTCCCGGGCGGGAAAGTGACCGTGCGTGTACAGTGTGGGGCGTGTGAGGCCGAGGCGGGCCGGGGGCGCGGCAACTCATACTTACCTGGCAGGGGAGATACCATGATCACGAAGGTGGTTTTCCCAGGGCGAGGCTTATCCATTGCACTCCGGATGTGCTGACCCCTGCGATTTCCCCAAATGTGGGAAACTCGACTGCATAATTTGTGGTAGTGGGGGACTGCGTTCGCGCTCTCCCCTGGTTTCATGGGTGAAAAAGCAGACTAACTGTGTAATGGGAAATTCTTTGCTTTTTTGCTTTCTTGGAAAAACTATATGTACCTGGTGGTAATTCCCGTTTTTCACCACCAGAAGATGTGTTTTCTTATTTTCCGTTTTTTTTTCTATAACTTTTTTTCAGTGTTTTTTGTAGCGTTGTATTTTAAACTGACTTACTTTAATGTGGGTAAATTGCTTTAAAACGTGTTTCCTTTTGAGGCCTCACAGCCTTCTATAGGGGATGCTGCCACGGCGTGGCCGTCCCCCGAGCTCCCAGAGCCGCTCCCCGCCACCCCGCTACCCTCCGGCGGCGACTGTTCCGCCCAGTGTGCACATCATTTGTTCTTCGGCAGTTTCTTTCCACAGCTCGCCTGTTGTGGAGGGTGCGCGTGGGCGCGAATGTATCCGTGTCTCATGGGTTTAGAGCATGTGCCGTTCTGAGATGACCCAGAGCCTCGTGGTGTCATCATCCATCCGGCACTAAAGCTGAGGCCTCAGAATGATTCCATCAGGCTGGCTACTTGGGGGTAAGACGAGTGAGCGTGAGCCCGGGGCAACTGCCCAGTGAGCTCTTGGCCAGAGGCAATGCTGTGCAGACTCCCGGGTGAGGCACTCTGGAAGGCCGCAGTCGGTTGTTTTAGCAGAAGCATTGCAGGCAGAGAAGGCAAAGGCCGGTAAAGTGAATGTTTATTCCAGTGAGAACAAAAAGCTGCCCTCCCGCGATGCAAAGGCTCTGTGTCCCTACCCTGGGCTTCTGAAAACTGGCTTCTAAACTGTTTTCTCCTCTCTGGTGCTCTGCTCTGCTGATTCCAGTTGCTTCCGATCTCTGCCTGCGTGGTTCAGTATGAGCACCATGCTCCGCTGGGATTCCAGCTTGCGAGACCGCCATCAGGTCATTGCCCCAGTCCCCTCAGGAAATCAGATCTGGCACTGCCTCGGTCCAATGTCACATGTTTTATCCAGTTTTATGGTGGTCTGAGGCATAAAGTTGAACCTGTTGGCCTCACTATGGCATAGCTATAGCCGGGAGTCCTGAATTGTTGTCAGCGCCTTTAAAATGAAGGCTTAATCATGGATTACTGACTTCTAAATAGTTTAACCAGTGCTTTCCAAATCTACAGATGACGAGGACTAAGGATTTTGTCTTTACTTTATTAACAAATACAACTAAGAATAAGCCGGGAGTGCTGGGTTCACTCTCAGCATGGTGACCCCACAGCACAGAAGGAGATGGGGTGGGGTGTCCTGGTCTCTGGGCATATTCCAATGCTGGGACTACAGGAGGGGCAAGATATGCCACCTCAAAATATGTTCCTTTGGCATAAGATTGTTTTGAGCTAAAGGCATTTGGAAAACAGCAGGTGCAAAGGCTCTGACCTCTACTTTTCTTTCAGAAAGCAGGAGATGAAACTCCCATGTAAAAGATGTCCTTTCTGTCCCAGGAGGAAAGAAATGTTCTTATCACCAGGGATGGGAAGTCAAGGCTGAGAGAAACTTGACAGAAAGATCCTGTTAAAATAACACCTGTCTTTCCATATATTTTACTTTTCCACAGTTGCTTCCCATTGTTCAACCTAGTGTATGAACACATGGGCCTACTCGTGTCTTTGGGTTTTCATTTTCCTACTGGAATTCCATGTACATGTAAAAAATCCTGTGTTTTTCTCCCATTATTCTCTCATGTCAGTCTAATTCTCAGGCCCAGCTGGAGACCTTCAGGAGGAGAGACAAGGTTATGCCTCCCCTACAGACTCGCCTACAGACCACAAAAGAAGGGGTTAGCAAAAAATCACCTGAAAGAGGCCAGCACTAGACCTATGACAGGGGACTTGGTGTAGACTGGTAGATCTAGTAGAAAATGCTAGAATTCCCAGACTCGGGTGGGTGGAAGACTAAGAACTGCCCAGAAAAACAAAGGTTGAGGGGAGAGGCTCAGCAAGACACTGTCATCACTGCGGGTCAGTGAATAAATCGGTCCTGGAGATACATCTCTCCACGCCCCCCAGCCCCCCATTTTCTCTTCCTCCACCCAAAGGCTTGGCTCTTCTCTCTCTGGATTTCCCCCCTCGTTTCCCCACGCGTGCTTGGGCGGCCCTCGCTGGGGGCCTCGTCTCACCGCGCGCTTCTCTTTGAGCGCAGGGTGTCGAGCTTCTCCCGTGGGGGAACACGTCCTCCTCGGAATAAGGGCGCCCGAGGTCTAGAACAGACCATGTAAGTGACAAAGGAAATTTGTCTTGTACTTTCAGCTCCGGTGTCTGGGCGACGGTTCCGCAGCAGAGGGAATGAGGTCGCGCCAGGCCTGGGCCACTGAGCTTAACACAACCCAGTCCCCGTCCCTCGGCACAAGAAAACCCTAGTTTTGGGGTCATGGAAAATAGGAAATCGTGGGTGCATCGGTGTCAGAGAACAACGGACATTATTCTTTACTCCCCAAACAGTGAATGGTCTTTCCTGGGTGCAGTTCCCAGGGGAGGGCAACGCGCGCCTCGTGGCCGCCAAGGGGAGGCCGCAGCCCCCCCGCCCCCCCAAGGAAGCCGGACCCCCACGCCACGGGCCTGGGCGGGGACGCGGCGCTCGCTGCAAACTGAGCTGGCGGGGCGACGCCGGGCTCCTCTCCCCACGTGCCGCGGACCAGCACAGCAGTAGACGATGAGGCCACCTCAGGGTTGAGAGAAGCATGCAGGGTGGTCAGGGCGTCGGCGAAAGAAATGACACACAGACACACTTCAAGAGTGAAAATCTGAGTGTAATTTTCTTTGAGTTTGTGACCAGTATATATATGTTTTCCAAAAGCACAGGAATGAATATCAAAGAAATTAGCTTGCCCAGGGGCTCAGTCTATCACCATCAGGGAGGTGATCTACATAACAAGCAATGACCATTATAGAAGAAGGAAGGAAGTTTAGAAAGACAGATAAGGGATTAAAGTTTGTAGTTCTAGAAAGACGGGATAAGATTTTTAGCATTCTTGTAGTGGTTCTTGGTGGTCGTTCTCTTTTGATAAGCTTCTGCCTTTTCAGGGAACTTCCGCTGCACTTCCTCTGCTTCAGGGTGTTTTGCTGTTCTCCCCCCGCGCGCTGGTTGCCCAGCCGGACCTAGGGACGGTTAACCCTAAAGGTCACTGCAGGGGGAGGTGCAGCACCCACGGCAGCCCCAAAAGCAAAAATCCCGCGCCCAGGCCAGAGGCCAGCTGCGCGTGACGGGCGAGCAGCGGCGGCCGGAGGGAGGTCGGGGTACCTGCTCGCGCCCGCGGCTGCCCGGGGCTGTCAGGACCCAGCTCCGCGGGCTCTTGCTGCTGCGCTCCGAGGGGCCGCGCCCAGCGTTCGTTTGCGCCCAGAGGCGCCCCCAGATTTCGATGGAAAGACGCCCAGGGGGAGGGTCTTTCTCAGTCCGTCCCAAGAAGGCCGTCCCGCCCCCCGCGTCCACCTCCGCGGTCCAGCGCCTGGAATTTTCCAGCTTTCCCGGACCCTTGGGAGGAGGATAAGCTCGAAGCTCCGGCGGGGTTCTCGGCTCCCCGGGCCCCTGCGGCGGGGTGCACTTCCTGCCGCGCACTGGGCACCCCCGAGGGCCTCGGCCCTGCGACGGGGGCCGCCTGGCGCGCGCGCCAAGCCCAGGCCCCGCCAGCGGAGCCCCAGACGCGGGGCGGCGCCCCTCCCGCCCGTGCGCGCCCCCCGGCCCAGCGCCCCCCGGCCCAGCGCCCCCCCGGCCCAGCGCCCCCCGCGCGCCCGAAGCCGCAGAGCGAGACTGGGGGGGCCGCGGCCGGCGGTTGAAAAGCGAGTTGTGCGACCAGGAAACGGATTGACGAGGCTCGTCTTTCGTGTCTCTGTGGCGCAATCGGTTAGCGCGTTCGGCTGTTAACCGAAAGGTTGGTGGTTCGAGCCCACCCAGGGACGCTGCGTTTTGGCGCCCGTCCTCGCGCGCTGTTGTTAGCGCCGCGTCCTCAGGGCCCTCCCGACCGTCTGCTGCGGGTCACACTCCAGGACGCGCTGCCAGGAAACCCAGGTTCCATGAAAGTGCCCGAAAGAAGACATTTTTCGGCAAAGCTTTTTGTGTGTGTGTTTGTTTGTTTTCCCAATAGAACCCGCGCTTGTTGGGCGGTGTCTGGCTCCGGGGGGCTTTGGAACTCATCCCCAAGCCCCGCGCAAATCCCTTCACTTGTGGCGCCTGAGGTTTTGCACGCGCCTGGAGACCTCGACATATCGAGACTGAGAAGCAAGAAAACCTCGGTCTTCGTTTGTGTGAAGCCTCGGGTGCCTGGTGGAGGTTTTGGTTCTTCCACGACGTGACTTTGAAGAAGTTACTGAACTTTCTGTGCCTCCCTTTCTACATCTATAAAAAGAGACAAACATTTGTGCTTCCCTCATGGGTTAATCTGAATCTGAAGGAGAGAGGCTCATCCAGTGTTGGAGCACTGCCTTCCGGTGGCCTCTCACCACCATGTGCATTGTTTTCCTCATCCTTTTAAGATCCTTCACAGAGCACATGTCAGCGTCCCTCAGCTGATGGACATGACATTGGTTCTAATGTTTATTGTTTGATTCTTCAGCTCTCCTGCCCTGCTGTGACGATGCAGGTGCCTCTCTTTTTCTTTCTCCTTTTCCTAATAGGCCTGTCCTTTTCAAATGTAAAAATAATAATTCTTCAGAAGACATCCCTGTACAAACATCCTTTTCATTTGTGCAAGGCTTTCCTTAAAATAGATTCCTTGAGGTGGAATTGCCTGATAGAATTATTCGTGCATTTCTTCACTTCCTAATTCCTGACTAATTGCCCTCCAAAGAAGTTGCACCTTGCCATTTTCCCACATTCTTTTCTTGGCAGCACCGTTCTGACATGTAACAGAAGCACAACTCATCACTTTTGCTTGAACACATTCCTCTGAATCTTGCAGGTGACAGGCTGGTGGTCTACTTTTCTCCTGACCTCTGAGAATTCCGGGGTGCTGGTTCCTAAAAGAGCCTTGAGTTTGGATTCACCCGACTGCAGAGGTGCTGTTTCTGATGCTCCTGTGACAGCTCAGGTTTCTTCCGTTGCTAAAGGACCCAGAACTCACCTCCCAGGATGCACTTGCATGGCTCCTCCTGAACAAAGTAAAAATTGGAAAGGAGAGACTTTTAAGAGACTCTAGATAATGACTCCTTTATTTTCCCAGTGAAACCAGAGGAGAGATTGTCTTTTGGGAAAATTTATTTGGGGAACTTAATGATGGTGGTTATTCTGTTGCTCTTGTGGATTTGTTTGGCCTGTGCTGGTATATGATGCTTGCTATAAAACCTTGTCTGGTGAGCTGAGGGGGACAGAGAGCTAAAGAAAACTTAAAGAAACTTGAAATAGGGCATGAATGCATAGATCTACGTAGCCTAAAGTCTTATTTTGAAGCTTTCAGAGATTTGGGTTGATGTCCTAGCTCTCAGGCTGCTGTGGGAAGATACCACAGACTGGGTGATTTAAACAACAGACACTTACTTCTTACCGTTTTGGTGGTTGGGAAGTCCACGAGCAGGGTGCTGGTGGATTCAGTTCTTGGTGATCCTCTAGCACCAGTGGAGAGAGATTCCTAGGCCTGATTGGGGAGGGGAGAGAGCGGTTCCCAGGCCCTGAAAAAGTGCTACTTTCGATAAAACTGTGTCTGATGAGCTGAGGAAAACACATAGCTGAAGGAACTTGAATAAAATAGATAAGTTTGCACTTTCGAGATTTACCTAGAGTAAAATCATATTTTGATGCCCCTTGCAGAAGGCTGCCTTGGGAGTTTATTGGCACATGGCACGGATGAGGCTGGTGTCTCTTCTGTTTTTATAAAGACATGAATGTTATTGTGGGTTCTTCACCCTCATGGCCTCCAAGCTCCCCAAGGCACCACATCCTAGTACCACCATATGGATTTTAGGGGGCTATAAATGTTCAGTCCGTAGTAGGTGGTGACATAGAGACATTCCTGAAGTTCTAAAATGCTCTTCAGGTGACCAGATCATAGAGAACTGAGAACAGTTGTGTGAAGGTAGAAGGTGGAGCGAGACTTGCCTGTAGTTCTTTGATCTTTTCCTGAGGGGCTGCAGGAGAGAGAAAGAGAGAATATGAGGGATTATAGAAAGGTCCATGCAGCCTCCTCCACCTCATCTCCTCTGCTCAAGCACCCAGTTCCCAAAGACCAAACAAATACTAACCTGATTGCTCATAATAAATTATTTTATTAATAAAATGAAACAATTTTATTTTTCAATAAAATCCACAAGTATGAATCTATTTTTTTTAAAGATTGATTTATTTATGCACACAAGAGCTGGGGTGTAGGCCAGAGGTGGGGGGAGGGGGGAAGAGGACAGAGTGAGGAGACAGAGTGGGGAGCAGACCAGGAGAATCTATTGAAATCCCCTGCTGAGGGGAGCAGCAGGGAGACAGGAGAGGTCTCTGAGCCATGTGGGTAGCTCCCTGGCCCAGGATGGAACTGATGCTGCAGAGGCTGCGGATAGCTTCACAGTGCTAGACTGAGCCCCTTGTGCCACCAGGGAGGCCCCTGCATCTATCATTTTTATTACAAACTAACCTCCCACTTTATAAGTTGTATGATAAATAATTGTCAGCCTTTTCTGCTCTCCTGCCCGCCATTAGGTTTGATGATGGGTCCCTGTGGTGGGCACCTGGAGTAGGGTGTGGGCATATGTAGGTGGGTACACCTGGGCTGAGACTGGGCCTATAAGGGTGGTGCAGAATGGAAGCAGGAAGAGAACCAGCAGAGAAGCAGAGGCCACGAGAGAAGGCTGGAGAGCCCAGGAAGGCTGGAGAGCCCAGGAAGAGTGAAGACTTGCTGGGGGCTGGGAGGCCTGCCAGCCTCCCGGCCACCAGCGCCCCTGCTTGCTGAGTACCTGCTAAAATGACAATAAAGGCCTGCAAAAGCCACCGAGGGCTCCAGAACTCTCCTTCACCCTTCTGCTCCTCTCACAGAGATGCTGCTCCATCTCTTCTTGCCCCTACATAAGTACACATTAAAAACCTCAGACAAACCAGGCTGTATTCACCGGCTGTCACTCCAACTTGCCAACTTGACTGCGGAAGCCCAGAGCAGCCCTTGACCCCAATCACAGCCTGTCCCCTAAGAACCTGGGCCGGCTGCAGCGTCATGGTCCACAAGTTCCACCAGATCAATATAACTGAGAACCAGAAACTCCCCAATGCCCCCCCAATAATCACATTTTTTTTTTCCTATCAATGACTCACAGTTCCTATCAATAGAAACTGAACTCAAATTTGTGACTGTTGGAAGAGTGCTCACCGAGTGAGATCTGTCAGTTTGCCTCCCGGGTTCAGATCCTCACTTTGATTATCAATAAACTCGTCGTCTGTCGCTGACATTTTTATTACACTTCACCTTTACATAGACGACAAAACGAAGAGTAAGAGGACTTGGTAAAGAAAGGCCGCTTTTTGGGGGGAAGTCTATCCACGCGGGCCAAGCGTGGCTTCCCCCCCACCTTGCAAATCACCTTAACGCACAGCCCCGCGCAGCCCAAGGACCTGGAGACACAGCAGCGCCGGGCCCTGCCCTCTCCCTGGCCCCCACGCCCTCTCGCGCGCCCCCTCGCTCTCCCCGGCGTGTCCCGGGCCCTCGGGCGTCCGTGCCGGGGTCTTCCCGGGGGGTCAATTTCCCAGCGTCTGGGGGCGGCCCTCGGCCCCCGAGGCCGGGAGCCCCAGCAGGGAGCCCCGCCCGCAGGTTTCCACGCAGCCTCGTCCTCAGGCGTCTCTGGAGGCGCGCGGTGGGGTCCGGATTCCCCTTTTTTGCTGAGTTTGGGACAAGGGGAGGCGATTCCTGGGCCACTTGGCCGGGGCCGAAAACGAGAGCGGCCGCAGCAGCGGCTCCGAGGCCGCGTCTGGGCGTTGCCGACTCGCGGGAACGAGGGAAAACAGAGGAGGAAGGAAAACAAACCGCCCAACGTGGGGCTCGAACCCACGACCCTGAGATTAAGAGTCTCATGCTCTACCGACTGAGCTAGCCGGGCGCCCGGGAGCAGCCGCCTCGCAGCTCTCTAACCTTCCGCACACGCGGGCGCGGCCAGCCGCAGCGGCCCCGAGGCCTCGGCGGGGGGCTGTGGGCGCCCCCGCGGCCACCCCGCGCCCGGGAGCCGCCGCTCGGAGAGAAAGACGGGGCTGCGGGGCCGGGAGGACGCCCCGGAGGGCGGAAGCGCGAGTCCTGACCCCCGTGATCCCGCAAGCTCGTCTGCCCGGGGCCCTGCGGAAGCCGCAGCCGCGACCCCTACCCCCGCGGCGGCGGCGGAAGAGCGCGAAGGAAAGAGGCGCGCGGCCGGGGGGCGGCCGGGGTCCCCGGCTTCTGCTGCCGGGGCGCGGGGGCCGCAGCCCCGGCTGGCTCGGGGTAGAAGCCCTGGGCTCCCCGACCTCGACGGCCAGGGCGGTGGGTGCGGGTGGGGCTGAGGGGCGCGCCGCGGGGAGGACGGGCCCCGCCATCCGGGCGCTCGTTTTTCGACTGAAACGGGGCGCGCCTGAGGAGGGGGGCGCGTCCGTTACGCCGAGATGTCCAGGCGGGCGGGCCTCGGGCGGACGCGCTGGCGGGGCCGCGGAGCCCGCCTTTCTCCGCCTCAGGCCCGCGCCGAGCGCCCCGCCTCATGGCCGGGGTGAGGGTCCCGGGTCGCCCCGCCTCACGGCCGGGGTGGGGGTCCCGGGGCCGGCGAGCCGCGGGGAGACAATAATTCACCCGGCTTGTCGCTGGGCCTTGCGCGCGGCCGGGACGGCGGAGCCGCCGACCCCCTCCACCTCCGAGGGGGCAAAAAGCGGAGCCGCGCGGCGAGGTGCGACGACCTGCCGTGACTCGGATTCGAACCGAGGTTGCTGCGGCCACAACGCAGAGTACTAACCACTATACGATCACGGCGCGCCACCCGCCCGGCGGCGCACTGCGGCGGCCCGCGGCGGCCTGTGAAGGGAGCCCCCGCGGGCGGGCGGCCGGGCTCGGGGAAAACCGCAAACGCGTCCGCGCCGCGACCCGTGGCTTCGGGGCCGGGATCTGCGCCCGTAAATCCGGGCTTGGCGGCGCCCGCGACGCGCCGGCTCCTCACGAGAGCGCGGAGAGAGGCGGCCGCCGCCCGGGAGCCGCGAGCCAGACGCCTCTCCTCGTCCCGCTTCTCGAAAGAACCGAACCGCCGGGCCCGAGGAGCTTCTCGTTGACGCCCCAGCGGAGTCCCGGCCTGGGGCTCCTGCCCCGGAGTGGCGGGAGCGACAGAGGAGCGGAGCTGGTGAGCTGTGGAGGGCGTGAGGCCCCTTTCCTTTGTCTTGTTCGCGCGCGCTCGGGAAACACTCGAGTGCCCCAAATCACGCGTGTGGGCAAAAAGAATTTAAAAACTAGGGAGAAAAAAAGTTATTTTTTGGCTTTTGGGAAAGTAGAAAAGGAGCGCTGCGTTGGCCGGGAATCGAACCCGGGTCAACTGCTTGGAAGGCAGCTATGCTCACCACTATACCACCAACGCGGACCGCGGGTGGTTCCCGCGCCGCCCGCCTATGAGGACGGGTCGGGCAAGCTTTGTTCCCACAATCTTTGTTTCCTATTTTACGTTTGTCTTAAGAGAAATTTCCAGCACGAAGCCAAACAGCCAGGAGAAAAAGAAACGCTCTAGGATTTCTTTATAATTATTTTGGAAATTCTGTGGTAGTTTCTTGTTTCACGGTTTGAGGAAAGTCAATTCTAGTTTTTTCCTCTTGGCATTTGAAGGGGCCTCTGAAATCCAAAGGACAGAGAAATTGCTGGAGTTATTTCTACACACACTGCTGCCGGCTTGAGAGTGTTTCCTTAGGGCAAATGCATAAAGATAAAGTTGCATTTGAAAACATATGCACACTTTTTTTCAAATGCACACTTTTAATCTTTGGATACTTATTGCCAAATTGTTGTGTGGAGAGATAGCACTAATTGTCACTGTTAGCAAATAATATCAGTCAACTGCATATTTTCTTTCTCTATCTTCACGAAAGTGCAGGATAAAAACAAGGAGTCTCATTTTAATTTGCATTTATTCTATTACTATTGCAGTGGATCATTTTTCGTAACTTTGCCATAAAACTGTTTGTATTAATTTTAAGACTTAAGTCATACGCTTTGTCTGTCTTTCTAGTGGGTACTTATATTACTGATTTACACCAGTTTGTCGTTTGTCTTGTGGTATTATTTGTAGGGTTATTAGATGGGCAGAAGTTTTCTATTTTTATGTAAGCTAATCCATCATTTTTATCTTTTATAATTTCTGTCTTTGCTTTTATCTTGGATAACTCTTCTTCCAACCCAATATTAAGATAATTATTCACTACTAGCTTTTTATCCACAACTAGCTTTTTGATTGTTTCAGTTCTTCCATTTAATTTTTAAACCCATTTTGTATATAGCATCAGCTAGTAATTCCACTTCTATGGATTGAGCCTAAGGAAATATTTGGGGAGATACACAGACACATATCTCTATACAGATGTTCATCACACTGTTTTTTGTAAAACCAGAATTTTAGAGGGAAAATTAAAAGTCCAGAAATACGATTGATACACACACATGAATTCTTTAGATTATACTTGCTTTGTATGTTGCTGACGGGAGCATAGCTTGGTGTGACTGCTACAAAATACTTATTGACAATAACTATACACAAATGCACACACCTTTGAGGCAGCATTTCAATTCCTGGGCACTTATTCCACATATGTGCAAAATGACGTGCAAAGTAATTTATGGCAGCATTATTTATAAGAGCAAAAGATTACACTTGTCTGTCAATAGTTCAGTTACCTGTGGAATGCCAAATACAATGGATTACTGTATTCTGTAAGAAAGAATAAGGAAGCTCTTAGCATCTAATCTGGAACTATTTCTAAAATATATTTTATATAAAATATATAAATTATAACTATTTCTAAAATACAACATTAAAATGAAAAAAGGCAGAGTGCAGAAAAATGTTTATAGATTGCTATTATTTGTGCAAAGGTGGGATCATATTTAAATATGTACATATGTATGCAAGCAATACAGCTATTCCATAAACTATTATGACATTATAATTATGACACTAAATATCGTTTGCCTTATCAGAGGGAAAGTAGATGACAAAAGTGAAAATTCAGTTAGGCCTTTTTGCCTAAAAGCCTAATTTGAATCTTAAATCAAGTATCCGTTTCAAAAATTAATTAAATTGGAAGAAAATGTATTGCTGAAGAATGTTATTTTTACTGGAAAGTGTTAGAAATACATTGTTTTTTTAAGTGAAGTGATTATCGATAGAATAGTTTGCACAAAATTCCATTTCCTGTTTCAAAAATTAGAGGTTAACTGTTATCACTGAAATAGTAGAAGTACAAATATTTTTTAAATAGTAATGGTCTACATTTTCTGCAGCGTTTGGGGTTTGGGCAGGAAGGGGAAACTGACTAGCAGAAACCAGGTCAATGATTGAAAAGATTTTAAAGCATAGTTAAAAAGAAAAAAAACATGTCTTCCCTGACCGGGAATCGAACCCGGGCCGCGGCGGTGAGAGCGCCGAATCCTAACCACTAGACCACCAGGGAACCTGCTGCTTTGCTGCCACACAGAATATATGATACTCTCAGACCTTGTGTTCTTTGCTTGTTCCCGCCCCTCCTGCCCCCCCTTTATTTTTCTGTGCAGCCATTTCAACTCCTGGGTTTTGAAGTTCTTACCGTCTGGGCTCTCCTCAGAAACAAAAGCCGGGAGAAAAGACCGAGAAAGCGACTGAGCAGGAAAGCCCTCAGCTGCAAGCAGTTGTCTGAATCCCTGAGCTGTGACCCGTAGAAAAGTAAAGGTGCCTCCTGGGGCTTTCCTCAAATTGACCAGGATCTTTTCCTTCATAGAAAGGACGTCATATGAGTAACATTAAGAGATCCTAGTCCTACTACAGCCTTTTTTCCATCTCGTCTGAATTTCGACCAAAATGTTGCCTAAAACGACCGTCACAGTCAACCAGAGTGACTCAGGGCCGCTCGTGCCCCGCAGTCTCCAGCATCTGTGCTTAAGTCGCTGGTAGGAGATTAAGAGGACAAGGTTTTGGAGCTTTCATTTTTAAAAAAATATATAAAGAAAGAAAAGAGGGAGTCAGGAGAAAGTCGGGGTGCAGTCCTGGACTGAAGGAACTTTTAAGACCATGCCCACCAAAGTATGCCAATTAACTTTATATGGAGAAAAAGAAAAGAAAAATGGCAAAAATATTAACAATGAATCTAGGTGTAGGGTAATAAAATATTCAATATTTTATTCTTTCAGCTTTTCTTTAGGTTTGGAATTTTTTTTAAATAAGCAGTTGAGAAAAAATGAAAATGAAACCATCAAAACCTCCAGCCTGCTTTGTTCAGATGTCCACAATGACATTCACTCCCTGCACAAATTGCTCAAAATAAAAATTTTAAATGAAATAGTAAAATGAAAAAGGATAGTAAAATGAAATAGTAAAATATGAAATAGTAAAAAATGAAATAGTAAAATGAAAAATAGTAAATGAAAAGAGGATTAAAAGTTGGGTCATGAATAGTGTGTATATATCACAGAACCTCGCAGAAAAAAATGGGTAGCAGGATCTGGGGTATTCTTGGGGGTTTTGTGGTTGCTTTGTCTTGCCTTTAAGTTGTCCATGTTAAAATGTCGTTTAAGAAAAGTATTAGTCACCCATAATCCAAAATCCACCTTTCTTTGGGTATAAAAGCCAGAAGTTAGGGAAAGTAAATGCTAGACATTTATTTTCACAAAAACAAATTAATCCTGTTGTTACACGTCGCCAGTGAGGATCCCACTTCCTTTGGCCCCAGCTCTAGCCCCACTGAAGAGCCAGCTGTGTCCCAAGCCTGAAAAAAAATTCTAACCTTTGGAGCAGCATCTTGGGATGGGACCCGGGATGGGGACAAGGTAATGGAATACGCGTCACTGGAGAAATCGGCCTCCTCCTGTTTGGTCTTTTTTTTTTTAATAAATTTTATTTTTTTTTAAATAAATTTTATTTTTATATTCCCCATACAATTGCAATCCCCTTATTTTGACCCCAATTGTTTGGTCTTTTTCACGGATCATTCCGCTCCCTGCTGGTAGTTTTTGGTAATACACGAGACCGTAAGCGAGTCTGAGTGGCGGGGACCGGAGGGATCAGGGATGCGGGGAAGGGAGGGGCCAGGGGTGCGGGGAGGGGAGGGGTCAGGGGCGCTGGACTTGCCACGTTTCTGGGCATCAAAATGCCAGGGGATGCTGGGTTGAAGCCGGCTCCTCCTCCTGGCACCACACACCTGGAGGTGACCCACACACCTGGAGGTGAACCACACACCTTGAGGTGAACCCGTGAGGAGGCGACTCACTCACTTCGCTCCACGTTGTTTTCTTTATTCAAACGCAGATCATGTGCCAGAGGAGGGCTTGAAGATACAAGAACCCACGTAAGAGCGCACCATCTAATGGACCACCAAACGCGCAGGTGATAAAGAGAATGGATCAGGGAAGAATTAGTAGATGTATGTCCACCTATTTTTCGCGTTAATACAACTAAACCCTGCGGCCGCATGTGTCCCAGACGCGGGGGACTCTGCAAGGCGGAGAGGCGGACCCGACAGGGGCCTCAGCCCGAGGAGTCGTGCAGCGCTGGTTTCTCTGCGCTTGCTCTTTGCTTCATCCAGCCAAGACTTGAGACTGAAGGAGCAGCGACTTGGAATAGCACGGAGTGCAGCTCCCCTACCCTCCGAAGATCAGAATAAAAGAAAGGCAGCCTAGCAAAATAGAAAACTTCTCAGTTAAAAAAAAATAAAAGTCTACTCCAGGCAAAACCCCCTGAACCGTGACTCACCCGGCCCACCACCAGGGGAGAGCAGTGCCCAGGCTTCCCCTCTCACGGGCGCTAGCAACAGGTGCCCCCCTTTTCAGGAAGATGACCCCCAAAGGAAAGAAGGAAGCCCCCGCCTCTCGCGAAGCCAAAGCGAAGGCCTTGAAGGCCAGGAAGCAACCAGGAAAGGGGCCCACAGCCTCGAGAAGATCCTCACCGCCTTCGGATGCCCAGGGTGCTGTCTCTGTCCAAGGACAGCCCAGATGCCCTCGCAAGACGCCCCCTCCCGAGGACACAAGCTTCACACGAAGTTATAGTACAGGGACGTCCCACCGAGCCTTGACTCGCTCGCCTCCAGCAGTGACAGGTGGCAGCACTGTGGGTGCAATGTGACAGCTCTCTATGGCATGGATACAGTCAGGAGACAGGACACGGGGGTCCATCACAGGGGTCCCGGTGTCGCCCACACACACTTCTCCCCCATCTCCTCCCCACTTTAACTAGCAGCCACTCACCTGCTCTTCTCTTCCATCATTTTGGCATGTTAAAATGTTACATGAACAGAATTGTACCTATGTAAACTTTGGGGATTGACTGTTTGTTGTTCAGCATAATTCTCTGGAGATTCATCCTACTTGTGTTTGTATCAATAGTTTGTTTCTGTATCTGCACGTTACACTATGATTATCTCAAAACAAAATTTGATTTATGTTACATCACATACAGTTTGTATAGAGAGACTCAGTTTTGCAGGATGAAGAGCTCTGGAGATGGTTGCACAACAGTGTGAATGAACTTAACAAAAATGAACTGCGCTTTAAAATGGTTAAGATAGTAAATTTTGTGTTATGTGTGTTTTATCACAATTAAAATTCTTTTAAAGAAACAGAAAATTCCGTAGAAAGATTCTACAAACAAAAAATACTTTGCTGAAAGGGGGAAGCGCCTTTCATTCCACCAGGGGGAGCAGAAGAAACACTTGAATGACCCGGCACACCAGCGACAAGGCCAATGTTAGAAGTGCTGATACCTGCCCCTGAAATTAGTTTTTTAAGGTTTATCTATTTATGCGTACAAGACCTAGGGTACAGGCCAGAGGTGTGGGGGGGCGGTGAGAGGATTCCCCAGAGACAGAGTGGGGAGCAGAACAGGCAGACTGACTGAAGTACACTGCTGAGGGGAGCAGGAGAGGTCTGCTGCGCCATGTGGGTCAGCTCCCTGGGTGGGGATCCAACTCTTGCTGCAGTGGCTGCCAATAGCTTCGTAGTTCTGTGTCTTAACCCTTTGCACCACCAGGGAGGCCCCCCCTTCCCCACCCCTGAAATTAATTAAGATTCCCTTTGATTTGGATCTTTAAATCCATGAGAGCCCCCTGTAGAGTCTTCCCACCCTCTGGATTTTTACCTCTAAGGTATCTTTCAGTGTTTCCTGTAATCCTATAAATGAGTAGTTACCTGTAGACTAGAGACTGATGAGATTCAAACTGAAGTGTGTGTGCAGGTTGATTTTATTTCTCACAGCTGCTGCTTATACTACTTTTGCCCTTCCTCCCCCGACCCCTTTCTTAACATTAAATCCCTTTCCCCTGTGAACTTGACACCTTAAAAAAAATTCTATCCCCGTTCCTTCTTCACCTCCTAGTCTCACCTAGCAACTCAGGAGCTAATACAGCCTTGAGTGTTGGTGAGAGAGAGGGAAGAGAAATGGCTGTCTAAACTCAGGGAACGAAAATGGAGGCGAGGTAGGGAGATAGACAGCTGCAAGGATCTGAACTGGGAGACTGAAACCACCCTCATTCTCAACTCAGAGCTCAGATTTCTTCTCTGGACAGCTGACTTTTTTAGCCCATCTGAAATACTCTGGGAAGATGGGGGAGGAGCTATAAACTACCTCTGCTAAGAACCTTATTTAAAGTTTGCTACCCCCTAGCTCTGTTCTGTAGACAAAAATGCAATATTCGGTATAGAAGGGATGAGGAGAACAAAAGATCTACATTTGCCCACTCTAACTTTTAAAGGCCAGGAGCTGGTTTTTGAGAATGCTGGAGGGCTGCCTGGAGTAGGCAGTAACTGGAGTCATAGAAACTGGAATTGAATATCTGACTTGTCTGTAGTATTTCTGCTTCCCTCCCCTTCTTTGCACCCTGAACCCCATATTCTTTCTAATTCTCCTACCCTTCCCACTCCCCCCATTCCTATATCCTACCCCCACCGGCCTTCCTGGAATTTTGGACTTAGCTATTTTTAAAACAGTCAACTCAGTAGCCACCTCCCTCCCCCCGCTCAGCTGTCCAGTACTCTGGCCAGCCATGTACTCCCCCTTCCCCCCATACTTCTCTGGCTCCCTGACCTCAGTGAGATTGCAGCAGGTCTGGGGACGTGGGGGAGACATGGAGAAAGAGACGGGGGATCCCCTGGCTGGAGCCAACCGACAGACAGAGTAGGCAGTCATGGCTGGAGAATTGGATATCAGAGTAATCTCTGACCTCTGGAAACAGTAAGTCAAATGAAATTGCAATTCCTTTAATAAGCTGTTGGATTAAAGTTAGACTTTCATAAACTTACACCTACTTAGATGTCTGCTCCAAAAGTTAGGGCTCCTCCATACCAAGGCATCCCGGTGTCCATTTCTCCTCCTATCTTACTGTTGTCTGGCCTCTGGCCATTGGAAGTTTAATTCTCTGTCTGGCCTCTGGCAGTCTTTGCTCTCTCCTTGCCTTGCTACCTCAAGACTTCTGGTGAAGTTTTAGGAGGAGTTTCCCAGATCCTTATTCTGTGGTTTGCTCACCAAGACCAAAGTTAGCTTTCCATGAGCCTTAGTTACCTTTCTACCTGCCTTATTTAGCAGCGCCCTACGCATTGGGTTTCCAAGAGTGGGGGCTACCCCTTGTTGAAAATGATTTCTCCCCACACCTCTAGTCACACCATTCTGTGCTCCCTCTTGCATGGCTCTGCCCCATCACCCCAGCCTCAAGAAAGGGAAGTTGGGCAGGAGGGCGGCAGCCTCCCCCGGTCCAGTCCTCATCAACAGACAGAACTGAATTTGCCATGAACGCTCAGTTCTGGAAGATTAATGGAAAGAGTGGCTCTTCAGGCAGGTTTGAATTGTTGACTCAGAGCAAACAAGTATTGATTTGCATGCTTGGTTTGTACCCCACTGCCTCATTGAGACAGAGACTATCGTGGCCGCTCTATAAAGGAAATCAAAGAGATTGGCTGCCTTTTCATTTGAATACTGGTATTCTAGAGAGGGACATTCCCTCCTTATTCTTTCTTGCAGAAAATTCTAGCTGAACAGGATGACCCAGGGAGGGGGGTGTCCCTTCCTGGCAGGGAGGGGCAAATAAGAGACACGCTTTGAGGATTTTCAGGCCCTAATTCTGCTGGGGAGTTCACTGGGAGAATTGGGGTCTGATTCAGGTACATGATTCCTCCTTTATTTATTTATTTATTTATTTATTTATTTATTTATTTATTTCTGATGTTTCTACTGTCGGGCAGCTCCTGATGGGGCAATGCAGTGGACTCTGGCACTGGAGTCCACTCTCCTTCCACCCCCTGCACCAAGCATTGCATAAGGGCTAAAGTGGCTGGGGGAGCAGGGCACAGAGGTTTAACAGCCACACTTACAATTTGGGGAGCCCCATTTTCCCCAAACTCCAGGCTGCTCTTCCTTTTCTTGATCTCTGATTCTCTTCACAAGCTCCTGGACAACCTTCACCTCTTGTCTCTCCCCATGCCCAGCCCAATTTCTTTTTTCAGTCCCTTACAGGACGTCTGGTCAAAATTCACTAGGTAGGAGGGGCATCAGCTGGGAAGAACCGGAGCCTGGGGGGACCTGACTGGATAGATATGGGGGATCCAGGCCAGCCCCCTAGTCCCCGGTCCCCCCATGGCAGCCCCCCAACTCTAAGTGCTCTCACTCTCCTGCTGCTTCTCTGTGGACATGGTAAGGGAAGGGTTTGGGAAATGTAGAGGGGGGCTACTCGCTAGGGGGGTGCGCATGGGCACGTGTGAATGAGAGAAGGGAACTGAGGGGTCCTGGGAGCTCCCCACCCCCACCCCGCAGCCAAGTGTGTGATTCGCCACCCCTGGGGAAGGGCGAGGGGAAGCCCTGGACAGACCAGGAGAAGACCAGGCCGGCTCACACATTTTCGGCAAAACTGAATGGCGGCAGGACTGGGGGGCTGGTACGGGGGCGGGAGGGGTTTCGGGGCGGCTGGGTTCCCTGGGGCAGCCTGGGGGCGTCGGGCGTGCGCTCGGGCCGCGGGGTCTGGGGGCGCCTCACAACCGCCTCCTCTCGGTTCGCAGCTCATTCCCAGTGCAAAATCCTCCGCTGCAACGCGGAGTACGTGTCGTCCACCCTGGGCCTGCGAGGCGGGGGCTCCCCGGGCGCGCTGCGCGGCGCGGGAGGCCGGGGGGCGCCGGGGGGCGCGGGCGGCGTGTGCCGGGCCCTGCGCTCCTACGCGCTCTGCACGCGGCGCACCGCCCGCACCTGCCGCGGGGACCTCGCCTTCCACTCGGCCGTGCACGGCATCGAGGACCTGATGATCCAGCACAACTGCTCGCGCCAGGGCCCCACGGCCCCTCCGCTGCCCCGCGGGCCGGGCCTGCCCGGCGCTGGCCGGGCCAGCGCCTCGGGGTCCCCCGCCGCAGACCCCTGCGACTACGAAGCCCAGTTCTCCCGGCTGCACGGCCGCGCCCCCGGCTTCTTGCACTGCGCCTCCTTCGGGGACCCCCACGTGCGCACCTTCCACCACCACTTCCACACGTGCCGCGTGCAGGGGGCCTGGCCCCTGCTGGACAATGACTTTCTCTTCGTGCAGGCCACCAGCTCCCCCGTGGCCTTGGGGGCCAACGCCACCACCACCCGTAAGGTGTGGGTCCCCCACTGCTCCCCGGGATTCGCGCGTGGCCCCCCGCCCCACACTCCTGCTCCCCGCCCTCAGCCGCCCGCTGGTCCTGAGTCGCTCCATGCGCTCAGACGCCTGCTCCTGCCAACCGCTTGCCCTTGGCGAGGATCTCAGGCCAGCGCGGGGCTCACTGGAAGGAAAGCTGGGCACCGAGGGCCCGAGCAGCCCGGGGTGGAGGCGCTCCAGGGGGACACCCTCCCTGCACCCCACTCCTGCGGAGGTGGAGACCAAAAGGGAGGTGGGGCATTGAGCCGAGGGGGTGCGGAGGGGGTGCAGGGTTGACGCAGCCCTGGCGCGAGGGGGGATCGACCTTGGCCTCTGCTGGATCTGACCCCGGACGCGGTGGGGGAGCGGGGAGGTGCATGCGCCCCAAATGAACTGCTTTCCCTCTCCCCTCACAGCTGACCATTATATTTAAGAACATGCAGGAATGCATTGACCAGAAGGTCTACCAGGCCGAGGTGGACAATCTTCCTGCAGCTTTTGAGGACGGTTCTATGAACGGAGGCGACCGCCCCGGGGGCTCGAGTTTGTCCATCCGAAGCGCCAGCCCCGGGAGCCGCGTGGAGATCCGAGCCGCCTACATCGGCACGACCATCGTCATCCGGCAGACAGCTGGGCAGCTCTCCTTCTCCATCAAGGTAGCCGAGGATGTGGCCAGGGCCTTCTCGGCGGAGCAGGATCTGCAGCTCTGTGTTGGGGGGTGTCCCCCAAGTCAGCAACTCTCTCGCTCAGAGCGCAGTCGCCGGGGCGCCTTGGCCGTGGAAAGCGCGCGGCAGCTGTGCAAGGAGGGGCTGCCGGTGGAGGACGCTTACTTCCACTCCTGCGTCTTTGATGTCTTGGTCTCTGGTGACCCCAACTTTACTGCGGCAGCTCAGGCAGCTCTGGAGGATGCCAGAGCCTTCCTGCCAGACTTAGAAAAGCTGCATCTCTTCCCCTCAGACGGCGGGGCTCCCCTTGCTGCACCTGCCCTCCTGGCCCCGCTGCTCTCTGGGTCTTTTGTTCTCTGGCTTTGCGCTCAGTAACCAACCAGGCCAACATTAACGTGACCGCTGGGGAGTGATCTGGGAGTGCAGGTTGGCAGGGGAAGCAAGGAGAGTCACTGAAGCAAACAGGAGACTGGGAGGTGCAGGAAATAGCACCCTTGACCCAGAGACAGATGAGGCTCTAGGCCAGGGTGGAGAGGTGGAGAATGTGATTCTGGGCAAGGCTTCTTCTGCATTCCAGACCTCTGCGGGAGCTGGCCCACGATTTCTCAGTCCCCTGTATAGTAAGTGACTTGTTCCAATCCACCTACTCCTGAGATCACCCCTACAAGCTTGGGGGCTATAAGGGTCCTCACAATCACTAGAAAACTTCAGGGTTGAGACTTGCAAGAGGGAGGAACTTACAGAGGAAGTTGTGATCACCACCCACACGAAACTCAAAGTCTAATAATATTTTCTCTTGTGAGGGAGGAGGTAATGTTGCAGGAAACAAGAGTCTTTCACGGATATATGTGGGTAATGTGTTCTGCTTTCTTGGGTCAGAAAAGAAGCGGGCCTTAGCTGTCTGGAGCCCAGCTGAAGGGAGTCTCTGACGGTAGAGAATGACAGATAGGAAAGAAGCTATCTTCCCCACCTCTAACTAATCTGTTATTAAAGCCATGAATTCTTCACAACCTCTCCTGCTGCCTATGTGTAAGCTTTTTGCAGATGCTTGGTAGGAAGTAAGGCAGTGCGCTCCCTCCACTGGAAGAGAGCTCAGAAGTATCAGATCATTTTTCTGCTCTCAGGAAGTTTACAGACTATTAAGGACACAAAGTTGATTCACATGAAGGAGGGGTGAGTGTGTAATTATTCACTAAATTGTATGGCTCTGTGATTTCAGATGGGGAGATGGGTGATGACAACGAAGGAATAATAAGCAATAAGAGATAACAAAGGAGATGGGATTTGAAATGATCTTTGAAGACTGGGTAGGATTTGAATTGTTTTTTGGTTTTTTTTTTTTTTTTTTTTTTTTTTTTATAGAGGCATGTTTTATTTATTTTATTTATTTGTTTGTTTGTTTATTTATACATGCACTGGGTACAGTCAGAGGCGCGGGAGGGTGAGAGAATTCACCAGAGCCAGAGCAGGGAGCAGAGCAGACAGAAGGACTTAAGTACACTGCTGAGGGGAGCAGCGGGCGGCAGGAGAGGTCTGCGCGCCATATGGGACCCTCCTCCGGTGGCCGGGGAGCAGCCGGGATCGAACCGGCGCCGCAGAGGCTGCAGGCAGCTTCGCAACCCAGCGCTCAACCGCTGTGCCACCGGGGAGGCCCATGGTTTTTTTTTTTTAAGATTTATTTATGCATACAGGAACTGGGGAATGGGGGTGTGTGTGTGTGTGTGTGTGTGTGTGTGTGTGTGTGTGTGTGTGTGTATTCCCCAGAGACAGAATGAGGAGCAGAGCAGGTGGATCTACTGAAACACACTGCTGGGGGAGTGGCAGGCAAGACAGGTGAGGTCTGCTGAGCCATGAGGGTTGCTCCTTGGCTGTGTGGGGAGGGGGGTGGGGAGGGAGGGGGAGGTAGAATCAGGATGGCATCACAGTGCTGTGCTTAACCCCTTGCACCACCAGGGAGGCCCAGATTTTAATTGTTAAGGACGCTCCAGGTAATGGAAACCCTCTGTAATTTTGTATAGATTCATGATTCATTGAGGTAACCAACAAAACTCAAATAAAGTAGACAAGTAATGGACTAGATGGATAGAGGCCAGATTATGAGTATCTTGAAAGTGTGGCCGAGGAGTTTAAGTTCAATTACTAGCCAACATTTGTTGGGTGCTTAAAACCTTCCAGGCACTGTTCTAAATACTCTTAAAATATTACTTCATTTGATCATCACAACTCCCTAAGGAAGGTGATAGCCTTCACTTTATTTTCAGGAGGAAACTACATGCAGAGAGAACAATCACACAGCTAATAAATGCGAGAGCCAGAAACTGAAACCAGTCAGTTTGGGTCCAGAGTCTTAAATTTTTTTATTAGTATTACAAAAGTTTATTTAATAAATATATTCAATTGGAAACGATGCACAACTAACTTTTCATCTCAGAAAAATGCTGTGGAGTGGGGACATGGTGTAAGTGATTTCTCTGGTGAAGACTTAACTGTTTATTCTCATTCCAAGGCTGCTCGCCTGACAGCACTTCCTCTGTCTCACCCTTGCAATACTGTTTTATTGCCCACTTGTTGCCATTTCCATGCATTCATGATCATAAGATCCGCAAAGAAGTCAAGTCACCAGCGTATCCCTTGGCCATGTCTAAAGCCCTTGGATTTTTTAAAAAAAGTTTTTTATTTATGCATTCAAGAGCTGGGTGTTGGCCAGAGGTGCAGAGAGTGAGAACAGGTAGATCCACTGAAATCTACTGCTGAGGGGAGCAGCAGGGAGACAGGAGAGGTCTACTGTGCCATGTGGGTCAGCTCCCTGGCCAGGGATTGAACTCATGCTGCAGTGGCTGGTGATAGCTTGATAGTGCTGAGACTTAACCCCTTGCACCACCAGGGAGGCCCTCCTTTGAAATTCAAAGATAACTTCTTGTCCATAAATTTTTCTGTTGGGGAGGTGAGCTTGGCTTGTGGTACCTACTCAGCTCAGCTAGCTCAACAATGCCTCCCATGCCACCCCCAGAGCCTGACTCTTAACCATTATATTATGTTGTCAAGGAAACAGCCACTAACGGTTTTGGCTGTGGAGCTGGACAGGGAAGGGGAGCTGTGGCAATGACTGCAACCACAAAAGCTGCTTTCTTCTTCTGTAGCAGGAAGTCCAAAAAAGAGAGCTGGGGAGAGTCCAAAATGGAAGGAATCTAGTTTGCAGAAGAGAAGACTGAGGAGAGGAGCTGTTTCAGTCCAGGGTGCTCAAAACTAAAAGTGCAGCTCTGAATAAAACCGTAGAGGAGTTGACTTTTTTTATGGTTTGTTTTTTTTTTTATGTTTAGACCAACCAAACATTTACTATAAAGACCCTTTAACATGCAAACTATAGTCACAACAGCACCCACACAGAGTGAGGGCACAAGGCCTGGTGTGGAGCACAGCATGAGGAGCAGAGATTTTCTGGGTCCCTACCACTTCCCTCACCCAGTCACCTGTGGGAGTGTGAGTCTTTAGCAGAGGGAAGGTCAAGGCAGCCAGGGCAGAACGGCCTTGACGTTCCCATTGAGACCAAGCTCTGCAGGCCCTTCCAAAATGTCATCAGCCACCGCAGCCTCCAGGGCGAGCCAGAGGCAGTCCGGAGACAATAGGAGAGTGGTGGTGACAAGAAGACAGGCACACCAAGTCCTCTGTAACCCAAACAACTTTGGGTCACAGAGTTTTCCAGGGACTGAAAAGACGTAAAAGTTGTCCTGGGAGAAGGCCAGAAATTGTGTTGGAGTGTGCCTTCTAACCCAGACCCCTACCTATGACTTCAGAAAGCTGGGTGGAGCCGCTCAGCTGTTCAGGAAGGGAGGGGACTGACAGATCCCTTGGCTCAATAGGTTGGAAGCCTTGCCAGGCACAGAGTGTCTGTCTAAAGGCAGGCTGGGGCGGTCCAGAGGAAGAGCTTTGGTACAAGGGCACTCACAGAAGCACAGTAACATGGCCTACAGGTAGAATTTACTGTGTGTGTGTGTGTGTGTGCACATGTGTGCAAGAGAGAAAGGACACAAGTCAGAAAGAATTAAGAACTGGAATGCCTGCCTCTCACCGGCCTGGCCAATGGAGGTGAGGTGATCCTTGCACACTCACACCCTTGGCCACTGCCTCCCTGGGCCTTGAGTGAGGCCAGAGTTGGAAATGAGCCCATGTGGGGGTCCTTTGGGGTCAGCAGGACAGGGTTAGAGGCAGCTTTTATATTCAGTGTAGTCCCCCACTCTCTGGGACCTACCCCAATCCAACCATCAACTACCCTAATCTCCTTCTTCAAACTCAAAAGAGTAACTTTATCCCTCATGTGGAGGTAATTTCAAATCAGTTAAGAATTTCATAGTCAACTGGTGCATGAGGTTCTGTCATGTAACACTGCTTCCTTTGCCCAGACTTGTGGTTATCCCTACTACCAATGGAGTATTTAAAAATAGATAGCTCATGGGGCCTCCCTGGTGGCGCAAGGGTTAAGATGCAACCTATGAAGCTATGCACAGCCACTGCACACACAACTCACTGCTTCTGTGAGTTTGATTCCGGCCAGCCAGGGAGCAACCCACATGGCGCAGCAGACCTCTCCTGACTCACCCACTGCTCCCCTCAGCAGTGTATTTCAGTCAGTCTGCCTGTTCTGCTCCCTACTCTGTCTCCGGTAAGTCCTCTCACACACCCCACCCCCGCACCTCTGGCCTGTATACCAGCTCTTGTATACATAAATAAATAAATCTTTAAAAAAATAAAAAGGGATAGCTCAAAATAAGCACATGAAAAGATGTTCAACATCATTAGTCATTAAGGAAGTACAAATCAAATTAAAACCACAATAAGAAAATAGTACACACTCACTAGAATGGCTAAAATTAAAAAGACTAAGCATATCATGTGTTGGCAAGACGTGGTGCTCTCACATGCTGCTAGGAATGTAATATGTAAGTTGCTTTGTAAAATGGTTTGTCAATCTTTTTTTATGTTAAGCAAATACTCATCATACAATCTAGACATTCCTAGGTATTGACCCAAAAGAAATGCCAACATGTGTCTGCACAGAGACTTGTGTATTGATGTTCATAACAGTTTTTGTTGTTTTTGTTTTTGTTTTTTTTTTTTGGTGGGACCCTCACCGGTGGCCAGGGATGAATTGGCACTGCAGAGGCTGCGGGCAGCCTCGCAACCCAGTGCTCAACTGCTGCGCCACCAGGGGAGGCCCCATAACAGTTTTTTTTTTTTATATAACAAATCCAAGGCTGGAAATTTTAAATAACTCAAATATCCATCAGCAGGTGAATGAATGCACCAATAGCAGCAAATCCATGCACTAGGATACCACAGCAATGAAATGAAACAAACTATTGTTATACACAACTTGATGAACCAACACAATGTGAGTGAAAGAAGCAAAATTAAGAAACAAAAAAAAAAGAGTACATACTGCTCGCTTCCGCTTACATGAAACGATAGAAACTGCAAACTGAGGGGAGTTTGCAGTGACTGAGGAGAGGTCAGTGACTGCCTGGGGATGGCAGAGGGAGGCAGCATGGTTTACCAAGGGGCCTGAGGAAACGCTGGGAGTATAGACATGTTTGTTATGTCTTGACTGTGGCAGTGATTTCATGGGTAAATGTATGTCAAAATCCATGAAATTTTACACTTAAAGTGTGTGCTGTTTATGATACATCAGGTATTCCTCAACAAAGGCGTAGTTAAAAAAAGGTAGTCACCTTTCCCTCTTCCTCTGGTGGATCTGATAAGGCTTAGAATGACTTTAGCATGAAAACAGAGATTAGAACAGACTTTCCTCCTTCTAGGAAATCATAGAAAGGACAAGAAAGAGGCAGAGCAAAGAAGTTATTCTGCCTTTCCACGCCACCAACAGCCAGCAGGTGGCGATGGGGACTAGAAAGAATTAATAGGAGTGGGGCCAATCTCCAGGAAAAAGAAAATTCTTAGGTCATCAGTTATGTTGATCATTTGAGAGAGGTTAGTAAACATTTGACAGAGCTGGCATTTCAGAAATAAGTTGAAGATAGGTACATAGTAAATTAAATAGTTTTAATAATTTATGACTTCACGACAAAGGGTTGTCTGAGAACATGAAACAATCAAAAGATAATATTTGGCTCCACGGTGGATATTATTATGCAGTGACAATAATGTAAATATAGACTGTTAATTTTTTTTTTTTTTTTTTTTATAGAGGCATGCTTTATTTATTTGTTTGCTGGTTTGTTTGTTTGTTTTGTTTATACATGCACTGGGTACAGTCAGAAGCGCGGGAGGGCGAGAGAATTCACCAGAGCC